ACTCCCCAGCAGCTGCCACTTTCCACCATGAATAGATGCATCCTGAGGCCAGCACCAGATGCAGTTGTCCCAGAATCCTAAGCCAAAGAAACTTCTTGTCTCTATAAATTACCCAGTCTCGGGTGTTCTGTTATAAGCAACACAAAAACAGACTAATACAGGTAACTATAACAAATTACGATAGACAGGGTGGCTTTAACAAGTATCTATTTCACGCCATTCTGGAGGTTGGAAGTCCAAAATCAGGGTGTCAGTAGGATTGCATTCTTGGTAAGGGCCCTCTTCCTGGTTTTGGGGACTGTCTTGCTTTGTCCTCATATGGAAGAAAGGATGAGCTAGCTCTTTGGCCTCCTCTTATGAAGAGACTAATCCCATTCATAAGGTCTGTACCCTCATGACATTATGACCTCTCAAAGGCCCCACATCCAAATACCATCACATTGGGGATTATATTTCAACATATTAATTTCTGGGGGACACAAACATTCACTCTCTAATACCAAGTATAGTATGTAAAGGGCACAACTGCTCTTGGGATAAGAATAACAGTAACAGTAACATATATTGAGTACTGACTTTAAGAAAGCCACTCTACCTCTGTAGTGGACTGAATTATGTCCCCCCAAAACTCACTGAATCTTGAATTGTGTCCCCAAAGTTTTATGTCTTAGAAACTTGGTCCCCACTGTTGAAGGTAAGAAATCCTGTTATGGCAATTGAAAGGTGGGGCCTAGAAGGGGTGATTGGATTGTAGGACCATGCCATAGTGAATGGATTAAATATGGTGGTCATGGGAGTGGTTCTAAGGGCTTTAAAAGGAGAGAGAGTCTCTCTGGGTCAAGAGTGACCTCTGGGTCACTTTTGCCACCACCAAGACCCCCACCAGATGTGTTCCCTGGACTTTGGATTTCTTAGCCTCCAAAACTGTAAGCAATAAATTTTGTTTTTCTTTATAAATCACCCAGTTCCAGGTGTTTTTGTTGTGAGCCAACAGAGACAGACTAATACAACCTTGCACTTTGCATACATTATCTAACTTAATCCTTGAGACTCTATGAGGTAACTACTATTATTGTTTTAAATAAGAGGAAATTTTAGCCTAAAGAGGTTAACTAACTTTTCCAAGTAACATAACTAGTAAGTTGAAGAGCCAAGCTAGATCTGATTCTAGAGCCCCAGTGTTTAGCCACAACCCTCTCGTGATATATATAACAGTATTTTCTGTTACCGAATCATGAGACCTCCTAATGGATCCTAAAATAAATATGCTTTCATTTGTGCCAGCTTGAATAGGTCTCTGTTGTTTAAAGCATATTACTTAATTAAAAACACCCTCCCAATAATGGTGGGTTCCATTTTGGGAGAGTTTTAGGTAACTTAAAGATCATGTCTTCTATCTTGTGTTTCTCCTGAAATGATATTTCATGCAATGTTTTCCAATCACAGCCACTTATTAGCCCTTTTTTATTGAGTTAAAAATATCCAGTATTGAGGAATGCATCTTAAAGCAACCTTTTCTTCATGCTGATTAAACATATTTTCGTTAGTTCTCTAAAACTAAAGATTAAGTAAAATTTGTTAGACATTTTTTAATTGGAGCAAATTTTTCATTTTTTTCAGTGATTGTGGGATTAAAAATAATATCAAA